ACAGGCTTCCATAATTTCTAGATAACAACTGTAGTTGAAACTGGAGAAATTTTGATATGTGCTTCTTAGCATTCACTAAATTTCTGCATAAAAATGTGTTGTTACTTGCGAAGTTGTGTCTGACCCATTGCAACTCCATGGATAGCGTTCCTCCAGGCCTTCCTGTCCTCTACCATCCTCCGGAGTCGATAAGAATACTCACATCCAAATAAGCCTTGACACCCAAGAACATGATTGACACCCGAGAAAATGCTCCTCTTAATATCTCCCTACTTTTCTACTCCCTTCTGTATCACCAAAAGCAAATAAAAGCTGATACTTGGTCTTGGTCCTGCTAGATGTGTAAACAGTAGGAACATTTTTCACAATTATTTTCTCATAGGTTTTCAAATGAAGCTTAGTGGATGCCTTTTAAGAATCTGTACAGTTGCAATATTCTGTTTGCTTCTCTATAAATATCTTTCTGAGCTGGTGCCTACTTCTTATAAGAGTTAAAGCAAGGTTGTATTCTAGACCTCTTACTTATTTTCTATATTAATGATATGGTGGCAAGACTTGCAAAATTAGAATATTATTCACTAAACTTGGCTGGAAAACTACTGCTGTTCTCTCGTGTGCAGATGATGCAGCCAGCGTTTCTGCTGCTCCTATAGGTTTGAAGACAATTGCCTCCTGCTGCATTGACCATGATTTAATTATTAATTATAAAAACAAAATGTATCATCTTTTCAAAAAGCCTTTCGGACACAATAATAGGTAACAAATAAATGGCAATGACATTGAAGAAATTCAGGCTTCAAAAACCTTGCGGTGAGGAGGAAATTGAAACTGTGGGTAATGTGCTTAGCCTTTTTTATAGAAATGTATGAGATATGTGTATTTCTCCATGTAAAATATAATATCTGGGCAGGCCTGAGGCTGCTTTTCTTAGTCTTTTACTTGATGACCAGGTTGCAGGGGTTTCAAACAGTGTATCCCGATTCTGGGTCAGGGCTGTGATTAAACCTAAACTACTACTTCAAGTGAGGTGATGCTAAGCCTTCACTCGGCTTCCATAACTTCCACTGACGCCCCCTCTTTTTTTCCCACCCTCTCCTTTTAAACATACACACCATTTTATGTTGTATTTTGCTATTTTATTATAATTAGTTCCACCATAATTGTCTTAATCTTAAGAGCTTTATTAGACTTAATATAAGTTAACAAAGGTTTACCTCCTTGTAGCATTTTATAAATTCTAAAATTACCAATGTCCATTTATAGTTATCTGAGTTATTGAAAGTAATTTGGATTATTCATTGTAAAATTAATTGTAATTTTATGGGATTCTTTTGCATTTTAATTCCTATACTCTATTCCCCAGTAATAGTTTTATCTTTACCTTATGAGATACCATCAATATGGCTTTCTGTTTTTGTTTCTTCTTTAGAGTAATTATTAGGTTATTTATACTGGTCTATGACTAAAATAAAATTGATTGATATTCATCAGAGAAGCAAAATTGTTTTGTCCTATGTGGCATTTCATTAAAAAAATCTTCTTTCCTACTCATTATGAAGTACGTTTGTTACCATTTCAATCCCTAAAGTTAAGTAAATACTAGTCAAGTACTATTCAGTTTTAACATTGTGTTATTTGTGACCCATTTTTAATCCAGCTTTAAATGATTAACAACATAAATTAACAAAACAGTAGAGAACCACTACAACAACAGAAAAATATATAAAAATAAGTTTGATAAAACCTAGCAACAAAATTGAAAATTGAAGGTCTTCCAAAAAGTGAAGGTTTAAACAAATTTCCAGAAGTCTGTTAAATAGGAAATGAGACAGACTTTCTTCTGAAGAGAATAAGCAGTCCAAAAATGTTCCTTCCCTAATCCCAAACAAATAGGCTTCATGGTTTGATTGGAAGTACAAGAGGTTCTCCAAAGTTGATTGATGCATTAATTTGGGAGACTAGAAAACCATGCAACTGTTTTATTAAGAAACAGAGTTTGGATATGCTATTATTGGTAATAAATGGGCTACAGCATTTTGGATTAGCCAGTTTTTAAAAAGTCTTCAAAGGCAGACCTACAGAGTATTTATTGCAGTAATCCAGTTGTGATATAATAAAAACATTTACAGTATCGATGTATCCAGATTTGCATTCTGTGTGATGCAATTGATATACCTACCAGTCAGAGGTAAAATTTTCCTGTGTATCACCAGGTTTCAAAAACCTGGTAAAACACATGCTTTCAAGAAGAAACACAGATTGGATCCCAGTTCTGGATCTGGTTTATTTATTAGCTGTTGACCCACATTCATTGTCATATTATATTTAGGCAATAGTTTAGGATCTCAGCACTCTCATTGGAATAAGATGGAAAAGTGAGTGTGTCATAGTGACATTAAATTTCTCAAAACACCAAATCACCCTCAGAAAGTTATATATAGATGTGGAGTGCAGGGGGGACAGTATAGAACTCTGTGACTCTCTTGGCCAACGTATAGGAAGTTGAAATTTTCAGCAATATCTTCCTAGACCCTTTTCCCAGAAAGGACTGAAGTATCTGCAGAATATTCCACCAAGAGCTGCCTATTCAGAAAGGCAAATGAAAAAATAATGAAGCGTAACAGTGATTATAGCCTGTATATTAGAAACCTTTAACACTTTTGCATTAAGACGGTTTAAAAAAGGATAGAAGCTATAAGAACATTGATAATTGGCCCACCAAATTTGTAATACCATACCATGTACTTATTGTTTCATAAAGAGTGGGTGAACAGATATTTTTGTTATCAATACAGGGAGAGTTGATTCCCCTTGAGAATAGTATACACAAATTTTCACGTTCAAAATTTTCGGGTTCACCTTTGGTTCGTATAAGAATTCAATAGCACAGGAAGCAACGTAAGGACTCAGGTTAATGCTCAGATCAATACAATTTATTTTTAATACATTTGTATCCAAACTTTCTTCTAGGACAAGAATGGGCCACAATGGGTCCCAAGAGCCCCCCTGGGTTGCAACACCAAAATTTAGTGGCAAATCACTGAATATTGCAGGTTCAGTTTCTGGCAGGAGAAAAAAAAAATCACTGTGGAAAATGCCTTATTACCTCTTAAGAAAAAAAAAAAAAAAAAAAGGACAATCCCCCCCCCCCCCCCCCCCCCCAAGGTAAATGCAGCCCTGTCTGTAAAATAATTTTCTCTTGCTCTACAATAATAGCCCTACTAGTGAAGTAGATGGTATTAAAGATAATGACTAGCCAAAGAAGTTCAGAAATCGTAATAACAGAAGAACCTGTCCCACTCAACTTGTTCCTTTCTGTATATCCTGTTTCTTTCTGTTTTGTAATAAAATGTTTGGAGAAGAATGCTTGTTAAATACTATGCTTTTCTGTAGATGCAGGCAATCATTCAGATTTGTTCCCATAATTTTCTTAAGATGGTTCAGTGCAGAATGGAAAATCTGAAGGTATTCCATCATGTAGCACTTTTTTTAAACACACACACATACACACATATATATGTATGTGTACTGTACAGAGGATAAGAAGAGCACTTATTTTTCTGTACTTCATTCTATAGTTTATTAAGCTTTAAGACCAATATCTTTCTATAGTTAACTTTATATTTGTGAAAACTTTGTTTCCAATTAAAAATGGAATACATCTGACTTTTTGATAAAGGCACATACAAGATTGGCCAAAGGGTGTAAAATACACTTTGGTTTTCATTGGGGGAAAACAATTACAGCAACAAAATGTCTTGGGTATTAAAATATATCATAGCTAAACAGGTGAACATGTCTTCACTTTCATGTCTATTAAGAAATTTCCAGATAACTATGACAATAATGGGCAATATTTTTGATGACAGTTGAAATATGTATGCATCTGTGTTGTATCTATTTAACTGCATATTCAGTTAAATATATGCTTTAGTGAGATTAAAAGAATTGTCTCTATTATACAGGTTCTAGAGGGTACATAGGTTTTAAAATTTTCTTTTCAATTTTAAGACATTTAGGAAACATTTTGCTTTCTGGTTTCCACACATATAATCATTATTTTAACAATTAGATGCAAGTACATTTTTGTTTAGTAATGACAAGATTGGGACTAGACACGTGCAAAACATTCTGTGCATGAAAGAGATGGTTTCATATTCAAACTGAAGCATGCACAGAATGAATTGGTATTGTTTTGGCCAAGAAGTAATTTAAGGGGTAGTGAGGAAATGAAGTCCATAAGGAATTGACAGAAGGGATATTGAGATATTGGCGGCAGCAGCTAAAGGAAAAGAAGGGAGATATTGGAAAATCAGGAAGGTGGGCAGGCCAGTGGGATATACTGGACAGGGAACAATGAGTAGTAGAGGGGGTGATGTTCCCCAGCCTTGATCTACTCTCCCTGTCCAGAGTTGTTTGAAACAGAACAATTGAAGTGTTCTAAGTTTCAATCCTATTTAACTCTGTCTGGCTTTTGACGGTTAGCAGAACATCCTACCCGACCCTCCTGTAACAGAGTGGTTTTGCTATGTTTTTAAAAAAACCTTTTTTGCGCACATCTCTATTTGCATCAATGAAATGTGTTTGAATACATCTGCCTTATGAGATTTCAGTTACTTGTAGTTTTCAACAGCTACTTTATTGTTTATAACTATATAACCGGTATTGCCCACTACTTTGCTATTTAATTTACTAAATGCTCATTGCTTTAATATACCCAGGATTGTATTTTTATCAATTTTGTAGCCATCTTTTAAACAGTTTTAACGGATACCAAAGTGAACATGGCCTGTGCTTATACTTACAAGGATCTCAAAATGTAGCGGTCCTGATTGTTCAACACAGCAAGAAAATTCACTTTCACAGTCAACAAGTCATCTTACTCAGTTGAACACAAAAGTTAAATGGTTTGTAATTTCAATAGTAGGAAGGAAAATACAGTACAAATTACTAAAAAATACTAAAATATAGAATTGTTTTCAGGCATCCTTGCTACATTAATCGCAGCAGTCACCTGAAATTTGAAACTTTTAATAAAAAGTTCTTAAATATAAATTATATGGCAAATGTACAATACATTGCTTATACAGTCTTTTAATCCAGTGTTCTGTAGTACTCCAGCAACCAGTAAAGTTGCCTTCCTTTGTGAGAAAAAGTAACTACCCCAAGTCTTCCATTTTCTTACTATCATGAATGTGAGTGATCTGAATCAGGTATACCACTGTCTCTGTAGCTTCTGTTACTACTGCTTTCACTGTGGTTGTTTTTATATAGATTCATCCCATTAGGTGGAAATATGGTATGTATTACAAACTCCTCTTTAGACACTTGCTCATTGTTCAGAGAGATCATCTGAAAAGAAGTCTCCCTGATTTCTAGGATGGAATTGTCCTTCTTAGTTCCAGCCTCAGCATAGTCATCTTTTCTTCGCCGTCCTTTGCTATAGGTACAATTTCTTGAGAACAAGGAACCATTCCTGTGGACATACCAGCAGACTAAAGCAAGCAATGCTATAGTTACCAGAGCCACTGCACCTCCTATGATGGCGGCTAAGGGCAAGTTAGAGTTTTTGTATGGTTCTTTCTCTTGTTCATGGTTTAGGGTTGTTGTAGGATTGTACATTCTAAGAGGAGCAGTTTCGGTCTCTATACAGACAGGAGTTTCATCATATAGATAGATGTTACTGGTTTCCATGGGAACCATGCATACACGGTATGGGGAATCTGGCTCAAGTGCAGTGAGCAGGTAGTCATTTCGGTCCCCTGTAACAATGGTTTCAGTTATAGATCCAAAGGCTGGGCTGTGACCCATTTTGAGCCAACTAAGTCTCAGAGCAGTCATGGGTAGTGCAACTTTCCAAGAAATGTGAATAGTCTCCGTGCTTACAGATTTTACAACTATGGTAATGATTTCCTGTGGTGGGGAAGCTGTTCTGTAATTTTTATGTGGATTAACAGTCCTTATTTCAGGAGATTTGGTCACAGAAATGGGCCAGTGTCCCTGCACAGGATATAATGTGTTTGGTATTGAAGCAGTAATTTGGATCGTGCTTACAATATCTTCATCTTTGCAATCAAATAGCTCTTTGTTGAGATCTTTGATAGCCATGCCCCGCACTTTTTCTGGTGCTTGACACATCAGTCCACGTACATTAACTTTGAGAGGCAGGGTCTGTAGCCAATCACGAACCCATTTCATTTTGCACCCACAGCGCCAAGGGTTGTTGCGAAGAAACAACTGGGTTATATTGTCTAGGTCATCAAAGACACCCTGAGGTAAATTACTGAGATTGTTGTTTGACATATCCAATCGATATAATTGCCGTAGATATGCAAAAGCATTAGGTGGTACATGATTGATATGGTTTTCTTGTAGATAAAGCTTTCTCAGATTTGTGCCTGGCAAATTTACTGGAGCTGCTGTAAGAGAATTACGAACTAGTGAGAGTTCAGTTAAATTGACTAGATTTGTGAAGACCTTCTCTCCTAATCCGTGATTGCTTAAGAGATTTCCATCTAAAACTAGGCGTTTTAAATTTGTAAGATCTTGAAGGGACAGCTCTGAAATTGTGGAAATACGATTATCATCCAAACGCAGCTCCTCTATTGTTTTGGGCAAGCCCCAGGGAATGGTGCTAAGGTGATTTCGAGAAAGAAAAAGTAGTCTGAGATAAATATTATCCCGGAAGGCTCCATCTTCAATACTAACAGCAGAAACTGAATTATCATCCAAATGCAATTCTTCTAGATAAGGAATTTGTGACAGTGAATCATAAGTAATTGTCCTTATGTTATTTTCTTGCAAATGCAATTCTTTGACGTATTTTGGAAGGTTGATAGGGAATTCATCCAAGCTGTTGTGATATAAATAAATTCTCTCTACTTTTATTAAGGTTTTTAACTCGGAAGGAATCCCAGCATTATTAATTTGATTGTTCTGAAGGTAAAGAGTTGTAGCATCCCCTGGAATCCCAGTTGGAGTAGAAGTCAAGTCACGATCATTGCAGTAAATGAATCCTGCATCACAGCGGCACGCAGAAGGGCATGGTTTGGCACTGGAAAAATGAGGTGCCATTTTCAGCAACAGCCCTATCTTTGTCCAAATAAGGATGAAGCTCCAGGTTACACTGATCATGGTCAAGTTGCAGTGAGATTTGCACACAAACTGGTGCTTAATTTTCAATAACCTAGGAAAGAAAATCAGATTAATAGTAGAATGCAGAGGGTAAACACTACTTTGAAATAAGATAGAAATTATTTAAAAAATATAGGATGCATATTTTTCCAGGAAAAGGTGCTATTGTTTCCTTGATATGTATGTATGTATGTACGTATGTGTATGTGTATGTGTATATACACACACATACATACATAGGACTTCTTGAATTATAGTAATGTAAGAATGGGTTTCCTTATAAGAAATAACAAAGCAAGGGCATGATTAATTCCAAATTTTATTGTTTCTTGTTATCCCTAGATTTCATTCTGCTGTGCTTTAGAATTTTGTTTCAGAATTTATCCTGTAAAAAGTCAGAATAATCATCTTGCCCACCCCAGAAATTTTAGAGATCTGTATATGATAGATCAACTCACAATTCTTTAGAATAGAGTATTTGCTTCACATATCTGAGATGTGGGTTTTAGGATAGTAAATTTGTCACTTGATTAATTAAATTTGTAATTTTCAGAAGTGTACAAACAGGTGATCATAGAAGGTCTATGTGGTCATTATGATCGACAGTTTCTTGATAGCCCATAATAATCAATGTATACCTGAATAAACTTTCATGAACTATCATGAAATGTGTGCAGCAGTCCCATTTGGCTGAAATATTTCTGCAAACCAAATCCATATTGCTTTCAACTTTGGCCTTGGTCACATGCTGCATACAAACCAGGAATAGTTCAACTTCAGTGACAGTGATGCAGCTTTTATAATAGAGATATGAACATGTATTAAACACCCATTCTGTTGATCATCAGCATACTGATGGCTTTTGCTAATACAATTAAATAATGTCCATATATAGTGGATTATAATTATTAGCTTATTTGTTATAAACTAATTTTAGTTGATTTGTTATATTGTCATATAAAATTAAGAAGGAACTGGAACAAATTTATTTAAATATTTTTTTCAGGCCCAATATTATTACAATAATGTTCCAATTCAAAGATTCCCATACTACAAAGCTACCTGCTAAGCTATCTATTTTAGCAAGCAGCATTACTTACAAATCTTACAGTAAGGACTGAAACCCAGCTTCTTTAGTACTGCTTGCATCTGGGTTCTGTATAGAAGGAAATATTCTTTAATTTCACATGGTCCATCTTTTATCTCTTTCTTGATACCGTTTTCTAGCATGTCGGTGGACTTTGTACTAATTGGCAAAATAATTTATTATTATTGTTCTTACCTTATTTAAATATATGAAGGAATAGTTTGTGCTTACTAATCCAATGGACATCCAGTTTTCCAGAAAAAGGTTGACTTTGGAGAAATAAATTGTTTAGTTCTCATACTTCTTTTACATCAATACATTAAATTATTCTTATGGGGAAGAGTATATTTCCAGGTGAGCTCCATTATATTCAGGAAGTGTTTTCTGTGAAGTTTGAACATGGAACCTAAAAAGATCCAGTTACTAAAAGTTTTACAGTCCTGTTACTCTGCTGGAAGAACAGTTCTAAGAGAGAGAGGATTTTCCTTCTTTTAAATCTGCATGTGAAGATTTTTTTTTGTTTTGGTTTAATATCCTTAATAAAAATGGCATTCTTTGTAATTCTCAGGAGCTTTTCTGCATTGTATAGCTAGAGATGGTCAGTTTCATATCTTTAGAATTATTTGTGGGGTAAGGCTTAAATTATGATGGCTTCTTCATTAAATCAAGGATCTGTTTTTGGTCCAGAATCATTCAGCTGTAAACCTTAACAAGCAGCAAGTATTTTCTGATAAATCCATGCTTGCTGGGCTCTGTGTTTTCTTTAGAACTTGGTCAGGATTTCCAGTTTAAAGTATTTCCCTCATTCTGTCTGTATTTCCAGGTGCCCACTTCTTTTGGCAGAAATTTGATTTTAATTCAGAGGCTTTTCTTCTTGAAGAAATAAAAACACACTAATGCAAGTAACGAGGAATTTTCTCAGATATTTCACTCAACCCTTGCCTAAAAAAAAGTAATAAAAATAAAAATTAGTTGCCATCAGATAGAAATTAAGAGTCTTGAAGATTGATTTAAAACAAAAATTACTTCAGCTATTGCATGAAGAGTCTAACCAAAACATGACTATGAGCTTGAGTTAACAGAGCACAAGGAATCTGACAAACATGACATGTGACCCTAAAGATGCAGATTAAGGCCAAGGTTCTTGAATGACCTGTATGCTTCTATTTATGATTTTCTACTTTCAAGGAAAAGGCAAACACCTATAGTTTAAATCACTCAAAAGCATTAAAAAAAATTCAATAGCAATATTGCAATATTGTGCTGCGCTTAATATTTTATCTTGTTGGATTCCTTCTGAATTCTTTGGAAAGTTCTTCCTTTGCTGGAAGAAGCACCCAGTAAGATAGAATATTTCTAAAGGGTACAGTTAGGTTGAGAAACACACTACATTTTTTTATATCTTGGTGATATTTTGGATTGTTATCATTTCTTACTATCTAATTTGTAATAAGCTAGATTGTGATGCACAGAAGAAAAGATTGCCATTCTGAGAAGAGTTATTTAAGAGTTATTTATGTATACATGTGAGTAGTCTACTTTTTCATCTGTAGGTCATAAGTCTACTTATATGATTAAGACTACAATCTGAAACACACTATGAAATAAACTCAAGTAAATTTAATGGGACATTTAAAAAATCATAATGCATACTGAGTTCTCCAATTGCATTCTAATTTCTAATCCCAAAATACTAGGTGATTATGCTGAGTAATATTTTTACTGTTAGTCATTTATACACAGTATAAATATCTATATGGTTAAAAGACTAGTCAAGCTTTTATAGCTTTTAAAAATATTTCTGCAAAATTAATCAAATTTGCTTAGCTTATGACTTGAAAATTTATTTAAAATTGTTAATTATGTATGTACTAACCTAATTATATAACTTTAACGATGAAAACAAGTTCTTAAGATATGCAGATTCATTGTAGTTCAGTACATTAAATAAAATATCAATACAAAATATTTTGGAAAAACCAGTAAAATATTTAGATTAGTTATTGTCAAACAAAATGAAAAATAAATCTCAGAGACTAGAAAGAAAGCAGAAAACATTACTCACTTCACTAGCAAGTTGTCTCAATTGTTAAGCTACGTAGCAGATTTGATGTTTATAATTCATTCCATTTATAATCAGTTTTTAACTCTGTAATCCACTTTTGTTTGTTAATGGACATATTTCTTTTAATGTTTCATTGTATTTGTTTGTGAAAAATAGTTCCAAATAAGTTTTGCAGAGAGTAATTGGGTGAATATATAAAAAACAGGAATAAGTATATTTATAAGAAATGTAAAGCTTTAATATAATTAACAAGAAAGACAGATTTAATGAGGTGTCTTTTAAGGAAAACGAGGAAAGTATAAAAATATATTTCTGCTTGAGTCAAAGAAAGCAAAGTTTGGCTTTTAATGAACTGAAAAAGCGTATATCTATTTTCATATGCTTATAATTTTTCTTCTAGTGTACTGCTTAATATTCAATCTCTGATGTACTACCACTATTATATTAACCATAGTATTGGATTAAAATGAAGGCAATACAATATAGTTCTTGTAATTATAAATCTTTTCCTCAAAATTATCTTAAAATAAGAAGATAAAACAAAATAACGCTCCCTGAAGGAAAGAAGATTGTTTCAAAAATGTGGATTCTCTCATTTCTCTTAATTAGAAAGAGGTACAGTTTTCTTTACTTTTCCCTTAATCTATTATCCTGGAATTCCAAGAGAGCCTTTATGTTTCAAGTTAATGCTGAGAATAGTGTGTTTGCATAATAAAGCCAAGTGATCTGTCCAACAGAATAGAAGTTTGCTGCCTTGTTGAGTGCTGCCTTTTTTTTTCTGGTGGTGTCCTTACATATTCTTTGACATCAGGTCATTTATAGCTGAGTTTGCAAGATGAAAAGAGAAATGTCCCCCACTGTTAAGAGACACTGTGGCCATGTTTTTTGTAGTATCAAACTGAGGCCTACAAATTTGAAAGGGAACATTAATTTTGAATAAAACAGGAAGAAAACGAAACCCTGGATTCACTAGTCCACAACAACCCTATTTATGTCTAAAAAGTACTCATTTTACTGCATTGCACAAAAAGATGGTTTTCTTCTAAGTGTTCAAGTGAATTGTTCTTATTGTCATATAGTTCTATCTAAAACTATGTGGCAGTATTTTAGGAAATAGAATATCCATGTATATTCTAGATAATATATGGCTGAATATGTGTGCTCATTATTGATATTCTGATATGGTAGACTTAATTCATTCTAGCTGCAATCCACAGCAGTGTTTTGGGAAAACATATTGTTTGGCTGTCAACATGATAATAAGTAGAATTCATTCACCAAACTGTACAAAACTAATTGTTTTATGTATCTGATTTATGGTTTAATGCTTGTAGATTAAGGAAAATGTCTCCTATTTTATCTTCAGGTATATTAATTCCTATATGGATTTTGATTAATCATTCTAGAATCACTAGTAAACTTTTTCTGCTATAAAACAGTCTTATCAGGATATTTTAAACATGACTTAGCAGCATTAAAATGCATCAAATTGCCTTCTTAAATTATTATGCAGTTGATAATAATAACATGTTTTCTAATTATACTGCCTGTGAGATTTATACAAACATAGTATTTTAGACAGCTAGTTCATTTTTTTTTATATTGGACAAAGAGGTTATAATATCCTGCTTGGGGCAAAAGATTGTAAAGCTTTCTTGAGAAGTAATCCTCAATATCTTTCTCTTATTTCAATGATGTGTTCTTTGGCTTATGCAAATAAGTAGCACATAGAGCTATTGTTTCTCCCTCAGATATAAGGATTTGCTCACAGTTTTCATCCGATTGTTTTAATAATAAATTCTGATGCCAATGGCTTTCCCAGAATTTTAGACTTCTATAAATAATAAAATAATGTGAGTAGAGGTATCTTCTATCTCAGCATGTCATCCTAAAAATGATAGAAATTTAATTTCTTGTATTAAAAATTGTCTGATACAAAAATGTAATTTTATTTATAAAAATGCAGCTTTTAAACAAAATATAAATTGTAATCACAAAATTAAGCTTTTTATTTGTTGAAAGCATGAAAAATACTGAAATATTGTTTATGTGTAAAAGCAACAAATAAGCAAAAACCAAAAAGACAAACTGACAAATCAAAAAACAAACAAAAAATTACTTTTCCTATTTTGGGAGAAATTACAGTATTATCCCAAATCCTTTCCCTTCCAAATATAGCATCAATCTATTTAGCAAGCTTTATTGGCAGATCAATAAACTTAGGACTTATTTTATTATTTTATACTAAAATTCTCTGTGTCTTAAGTTCAATGGGACCAGCTCCAAGTTACTCTGTTTAGAATTTCAATTCCCAACTTTGATTATCTTTCAAAAGTTGCTGAATTTAATTTATCCAAATGTTAAAGATCAATTGCTATGACTGGTTGAAAATTCTTAAAAATATTTAATTTTGTATATATTGGTTAGTATATACCTGAAATGAAACTTCAACCCTTGATCTTTGGGCCTGACTTAAAGAAATGCCAAAACTTAAATAATTTTTTTTAGTTCTTCATACTTTTGATAGCATATATTCCTACCTCATTATATATTTTTGGTTAGTTTATTTCCCAAATACTAACTTTTAATGTAACACTACCAGATTTCTAGTACATATTTTATTGCTGAAGGTTAATTTTAGGTTTTAATTTTATAGTCTTCTAATAGTCTTAGGTAATGATTGCAAGAACACTTGTAGAAATAAAATTGTTTGAAATCATGGGAGGTCCATGTGATTAAGATCTGAGAAATAATCAGAATCTGATGCAGATAAATTAAGTTGGAGTTCAACTTCCGATGCACAAAAAGCACTGCTATTGTTCAACAAATCCCATTATTTAGTGTACAGAAATTATAGGTTTTGTTTTTCTCCTAAAATTTAAATGAACTAGAGAAAGGTTCTTTTTCTAGTTCATTTAAATTTTAGGAGAAAAACAAAACCAATTATCTAATAGATTAGTTGTTTAAGTTAAAGGACAGTAATCTGTATTCCTATATGCTAAAACTGTTGCTGTAACTTGAACACAGAAATTCTGCCCGCTGGGGGGTAGCACACACTACAAACTACACAGCAACTGCAAACCTCTCTCCTTTGTAATGCAACTGTCTCGTTTCACTGCTTTAATCACAAAGGCAGAGTGTGGAAGATTCCAGAGGAACAAGTACATAGGGCAAAAAGCA